TACCAGACACAAAGGGAGTAATTCTTACCATCGTGCATTCGTCTCTCTCTCTCTCTCTCTCTCTCTCTCGGAAGCTTCGTCAAAATCTTACAATCAGTATCATTACTGCTATTGCATTGTGGGACCAGATCTTCGTACAGAACAATACTCTTCCTGTTCTTATCATATCGCTAAGCCAATCGACATTGCCAAAGCAATCACATACGTGCACAACCTATCAGAATTTGGGCCCACTGTTGTTGTAAACTATAAGTAGACGCAAGGGGGGGGGGTATTGAGGTACACTGAGTACACTCATAGCATATTCAAACCCAAACAAGGTTTTCATGTCCAAACTTTGATTTACACAAATCCGTGACAAATCGAGTTGGCTTGAATACCACCAAGAACTATTCTCACTCTTCGCACAAAACATATTATAACACATTACTTTGCAATATATATTTTTTTCAGTTCTTCTCGTGCTCAAAATGACAAAATAGTATTTTAAAGAACGTCAGTACCTGGATGTCGGATATTTAGTAGTGAGATGACTAGAGCGGTGTCCTTAGTGAGTTCCATTGTAGCTTTGCATTGGGTAGATATGGAGTGAATCCGTGAAATTGGCATCAAGTTGGCTTTGAATTGGCTTCAAATTTGAATTGCTTTGTCAGTCATCAGTTTTGTCGCTACCCTGGTTTCTCATATTGACTACAGCAGCGTAGCTTTGTGTTGGCTTGGCATGTCCTTTTAGGCCATGCCTCGTGGTGCCTTTTTGTTCGCGATAATTATTTGACAGTTGGTCAGTACTCAGTGGTCATAAAATTATACATATGTATTCATACTTTTATGATGTTTACACATCGTGGTAGTTAAAACCCCCCTTTATAGATCAATGAAAAAAGCTTCACACAAAATCGACGTACTGTACATACATACTATACAGGATCCAACTTTCCAAGACTCCAAGTCTCTATTGGGAGATGTATAGGGCTTAGCCGCAAGGCTCATACTACAAAATGTAGTCCTGACCAATGTCCACTACCTACAGTCTTTTTATTAAAAAAATTGCCTAATTTTCAGAAGGCTGTGAAAAAATATTGTATTTATGTTCAGTACATATTGCCTGTATTTTTGTATTCAGTATTGTGTACATATTTGATTTTGGCTTCATTACGTCATGGTAAAACAGTATATTATTTTTTAAATACGTTCCAAGCTCAACGCTATGTACTAAATAAATATTTACAAAATTGAAACGGAATCTTTTCTGCACGGTTTGTTATTTGTTTTTTAAAAAAGGGCCCCGGCTGAAAATCGGACACAATAGGCGGGGTGCCCAACTTCCCAATTCCCATACGGCCGCACATCATGTGCCAACTGTCAACTCATGGTGCCATAAAGCGCACAACAAGAAAGAGGAGGACCTTTTTTACTTAAAGAAGGCATAGCAGCGGTGTACGAATCTACGAGAATGCGAAGAGAGTGCCCGAAGTCTATGAGAGACGAATCAGATTCAGAGATTTCAGACTTTCGGAATCGCCCGGGGAGTATGCACTGTGTTAGTCGAGAGTTGAGAGCCGAGACTATGAAAGAGTAAATGCTTGAGAGCTACATACATCAAGTGTCGACAGTCAAGTGTTAACCAATAACCAATAACCATAAAGCATACAACCAGAAAAGAGGAGGACTCATTTTTAAGACCCCCAGAATGTTGGGTTTGCCAGCGGGGTATTAATTGTAGGCATGGCAGCGGTGCATGCGAGACAGAGCATGCATTCTGAATATATAGTTATTTACATAAAAAATCTACTACTCTCTCTCTTTGTAGAGAAGCTTTTTATAAGTTGTTTTTTTTACAAAAAGAACAAAATATAAACAAAATAAACGGATACAAATCTAAAACAAAACAAATGTATCTACATCAGATCGGTCAGACTCGGTGAGTCAGTCCCCACTCCCCAGTCCCCACTCCCCACTGGGCCGACAACTCCCCAGTCCCTACTCGTCCCACTCTAGTAGTCGGCTCTGTGCAAAATAGAATAATAACCAATTTTGTATGTACTGTCTTCAATAAATTGGCTTTAAAAAAGAAATAGAGCTGATTTCTGTGAAGGTGAAATAATTGGATTTTGAGACTACGGTTTTCGTATTGGTGATCGACTTGTTGCAAGGAAGCCAAAACTGCAATAAAAAAATTCGGCCAAAGTCAATGTGGTCAATATGGTGACCCAGGCCATTGTGGGCTGCGGGGTCGGCCAATATTCATACAGCGTCAAGTTTATATGAATATTCATAGCCTTCTGTTCAATTTTGAAGGCTATGGAATATTTCAAAATGATATTTTAGATTAATAGATAGTAGAATCACTGTCTACATACTTGATGACGTCTTCATCGCTGTCACTGGTTGCTTCTGTCTCTTTATCAGGTACATACAACTCCTCGTCTTGTGTGACAGGACGGAATTGACTGTCAGGACCACGCAGTGAATGTCTCTTATCCCTGCCCCCACTTAGATGCTTGGACTTTTGCGGTGGCATATGTGTGTATACCACAAGCTGGTATAAATTGTACTATTGATTAAAATAGTACTGGGGCTCACCGGCATTGTTTGCACACTTTTAGACCAGAACGAAAAGTAATTTCAAACTTCTGATATTCGACTGACCTTAAGAGATGGCGCAGCATGTCGAAATCTGGCCTCAAAAGTTCAAAATTCAGTTTGCATGTGGGTGTTCTGGGAAAAGCGGCAAAATTTGTCAGGGTCGAGTCAAGAAATAAGTGCAAGACAAAAAATCTGTCCGGGTGATTTTTCTTCCTGATTGCTCTAAGCAATTTCCGCTATTAAAATCAGGATTTGGTCAAGTATTGCGTGTTCCACACCCTGGCAAAGTAGGGGTGGCTTCCGATCCTATTTTAAGGCGATTGCACAATGCAGTATGCACCATATGACTAACCTCAAATGGTTTACCGTTTTAGGTTCAACTTTTATTCCATATACAGTTTCTTCTATATTACTGGGTGCAATTTTCCGGTCTAAAAATTGAAGTGTGCACTGTTTTCAATATACGAATCAGTTTTTTGTCAGCACCGGCCTGAATTGACCCAGCGCATATCCTCCATTGTCGACTCACTTGGTCCAAGCTTCAACAGGGAATTTACTGACCACTTCTTCCCATCGATCTTCTCCAAACCACTACAACGGCTATGAGAGCCATACCATATGTACAAACATTGTAACTTAACTCCTTTGAAATACATAATATTATCCCTATACAAACAACTTAGGTGGGCCTTTCTAGTCACATCATAACCGTTATAACGTTTTTAAATGAGTAAATATGCGTTTACGTTCAACTTCTATCTCGTACATACCCCTTTAACGTAATATCTACGTGCTCCCTAGAGTCACTAGGCGGGGACGATAAAAACAGAGGTACAAGATTGGCCAATCATGTCAAGCATAAAACTGATCACTTTGCGCGCTACTCTAATATTAAACCTCTACTCCCTCTCTCTCGACTCTAAAGAGTAGTGACTCTCTAGAGAGCCTCTACTAGCCGAATAAGCCGACGAGAGTAGCGTTTGGGACGAGTCACGAGTGTCAGTGGGGACTGGGGACTGAGTACTGACTCACTGAGTCTGACCGATCTCAATCTATAGTGTTTTAGATTTGTATCTGTTTATTTTCTTTGTTTTGTTTTGTTTTTATTTAAAACATAGCTACTATAAAAAGCTCCTATGTACTATGTATGTATTCACTATTCAGTATACTATTCTTTACTATCTCGATTCTCGCCTACTACTCTAGTAGTAGAGAGTAATGTTGTTTAAATAAACATTAAAAATATGGAGTGTAGTATGTATTCAGTATTCTCTTGAATATATACGTAGTAATATTTGTAGGAAAATATTGGTCTGTCTGTGCTTCCTACTTAGTGCTACTCTGAGTTTGTGGTGAACACTAAACGCAGAACGTCTGAACAAATTCTGAAGTCTGAACACAGTGAATTGTGAACTCTGAACAATGACAGACTGTCTGTGACACTGAACAACTGAACACTTAAGTTCAGAGTTCTGAACTCAGCTGGCCGCTGGGCCTGGTTACCTGGTATGTACAGTCGGGGACCCGGGGTGTCACTTGGAGTAAGGAGAAAGGGCATTTGTTTTTTTACAACAAAAAGCAACAGATAAGTATGTACTCTATCCTTTTAAGGCAGAGACTCCATAACTCTAGCGAGTCTCTCTAGTCTACAGTCTATAACTCATAACTCGTAAATACAGAGTCGAGTTTGTTGTACATATTAACACAAATTTTAGTATCAAACCAATGAAACCATCTACTAAATTTAAAAATTAGTCAGCTGTAACGCATTCACCTTTATGATTTATCTTCTACGGTCTACACTACACTTTACACTCTACAGTCTTCACTCTTAAGACTTTATAGTGTACTGAACAATTTAACAAGGCTCGAGAAAAGCGAAAAATTGATGGATATATAAATTATAACCCTATTTCAGACGGACCACATTTTACATTAAGTCATATAAGCATAATTCAGAGCAATGCTTAACATTTCAGGAACCATAGTCCTTGATACGCCAGATCGTCAGTGTAGAAAGAAAACATGTCAACTGCCAAAGTATGAATGTGAGTTGGTGGGAAAATCCCTTCAGAAGTCGCAGGACACCGGTCTGTGCCACGTAAGTCTAAAATGTGAAAGCTCCTCTTCGCCATGTATACTACAGATATCATCATCAAACAAATGGAAAATTCTCGATGTAGATGGCACCGCACAACCCCAACGATTTTTGTCGGTGTATGAATTTGAAGTGAAGAAATACGAGTGGTCGGCCAATTCTTCCACAATGACCAAATCGAAAACAACCCCACAGTGGTCATCAGTACCCAGAGAAGCAGCAGGCTCCATCGCGATGGCCGATGATGATGGTAGCAATCCAAAACCTGCTACAGATTTACCTTGCGTGCAGCCCATACTGAACATGCGCACACGACAGTTACTTATTAAAATCGCCAGGCGCATTCTGCCGAAAAATTGGGCTGATAGACATCTAGAAACAATGAAAAACGTACCGAGTTAAGATCAGCAACGTCTGGATACGTTGCTCATCTCTATATTTAGACTTTTGGCCACTAGTTGCCGCTGTCAAATTCAACTCACTATCATTTAAAGACTGAGTCTACGAGGACTACCACAGGTTTTACGCATCATACTACATACAATCAATTAATAGTAGCACATAAATAAACTATTTTAAAGCCTTTAGATGACTTGTGTTTAACCCGGTTTGATCGTTTGGAAAGTGCATAATGCCTTAAAAGTCATGACAGACGATATTGCTTTTATTTAGCTTCGTAAGGCGGATATTACCGAATACTTCGCAACGTTCATATTATTGCTGGTTACAATAGATATGGTTTGCGGATTATATGACGCCAGGTTGCAAATATACTGTAGCACGCGAGTTTTGTGGTGGCTATCACATCATTGTGCATCATTCTGTGTATTCCCCGGTCGATACGTGTCTGTGTGCCCATTAGAAGACACTACACGCACTACCGCGACAGAGCGTTGTATGAGGGCTGTATGTCCAACCCAGACTGCTCTATTCGCGAACGTGTGCTTGCGATGCGTATCAGTGCTGGCATTTGGCAAGACACGTGTGCGCTCGTATTTTGAATATTTGCACGCACGTATTCACTCATTGTATATTACATACACACCACAGCGAGGTTGTGGGACGACCCCTGGCCGCACTCTGTGCGAATGACGACGCGAAGGTATATTCCATCGATGTAGATGATATCCTGGTGTTCTCGCGCGGCAACGGAATCAAATTGCACAAGCACTAGATAACCACGACCGATATATCTAAGTCCGCGGCTCTTGGCAATGCCGACGTGGTCATCTCTGGAGTACCCGTCAAGGGTTTCAATGTATGATACGCAACGTTTGTGTCGAGAATGCAACCCCCGTCTCAGTTGTGCATATATGTACAAAGACAAGAAGAAAGACTTCTCACAAACGTGTACGCTTGTACATGTTGTTGAGTATGCGGACAGATGGAAACCGTACGTGCGAGAGTTTGTGCGTGTATTCAATTGGAGTACGGTAATTCAAAGCGAACCTCAAGACAACCCCTGTTTGACCGTCGTTGGTTACAATCTGCGGTTGTTACCTACAGCTGTTGGCGGGCTATTGTTATTGTTCTGTGTACTGCTAGGGTGCGTTGTCTTGGGTCTCCACTGTTCTACTCATGTATTAGTGTCACAGTTGTTAGCAAATACATTGACTTAAAAGTTTGCTATTCGCAGCCTCGATAGGTTGTGTGTTGGCATAATAAATGAGACTATAACAGCTGTATACATATTCATTCATGAGTGTCCCGGACTATTGTGTAATATATATATAGATGCTAATTTTCTGATCCCGGAACAGTAGGTATACATGCATCAGTAGCCAGATACGAATACGATTGTGCATGCATATGTATTTATTTTCTTAGTTGGATGCGTTTGTAAATATCCAGTGTACGTAAATACTAGTATACATTCACGGACATGTGTCTAAAGTAAGACGGACGGCTAAACTGTGTGCGTGTCAAACTCAAAATTCATGTTTATATATATATTTGCAGGCTCTTGCGTACAGTTAAGTACAGTTTAGGATTGGAGTAGGCTAGGCCGGTCAGTGCTCATAAGCCTCGTTCATACCATCGATGTTCGAATGAATGCGTATAGCTGTTCCGCTCGTTACCGTAAAAGAGTTCGGTGACATGTTGTACATCACGCGTCACGTCTTAATGGCACTGTGCTCTGTATCTCCGGACCGTGTGCGTGGCATGCATTGTTTATCGACTGTGTGCGGATACCTTTAACTCGTGTGATCATCCACACCTGCATCACACCGATATCCCTGCTTCTTATTTTGTAGATTCTATATTCACGTGGTCCTTGCGAACAACGATTGGTGCCGCTGTATACCAAACGTTTATTGACGCATCCTCTGATTTGTGCTGTATTCACTTCCTCAGATCGACACCGCGGATCTTTAGGATAGCTGTATAGCAATTAACTTTGCCACGTACCAGAACTTCTCACCTGATATTGTGGAAAAGGCGTCGATTTTTGTGAAGAGTGTGGGCAAGGTGACGGTTGCTATGCTACAACGGAATGTAATGCGCGTCAGTCGGTCCACGGACATGTGCGGCAGTGCGGACATTCTTTAATTCCTTGGTGGAGCCGATGATGTTTCGCTTACACTCTGGAGGACGTTATAACTCCACTTGAAAGTATTGGTAGATAATAATTTATAACTCCACTTGAAAGTATTGGTAAATAAATTGTCTCATGTTTCATTCTGAAGGCTACGTCGATTGTCAGTAGTTCTACCTCTTGCAGACGTTTTTGACCCAGTGAGACGCCACCCAACATAGCAATTGAAGTCGAGGATACGAACATCTTCTTGTTGTTAATGGTGCAAAACAACTCGGTTCCCTGATGTTTTTTTTTCGAA